TTATTTTCAATCGGATTTTTTCTCAATAGGATATGAAAGGAAAAATGATTGTTAAGAGAGAGAGAGAGAGAGAGAGAGAGAGGTTACCTTGATCCTTGAATGTCTTGTTAAATTATATTTGATAGAATTGAATGAATTTAATATAATATAAGTTTTATTCGATTCGATATAAAGTGCGGACGAAATATGTATTATTAATAATAATATTAATGAGTAATAAATGGCACCAAATATAGTGAATAACATCAATAAAATATCATCAAATTTTACAACCATTAGATGTGTCATATATGTAATTAGTGTACTAATAAGCAACCACATCGCGCATATATATTTTGACCAACATATATTGTTATATGAATTTATTTCCACATAAATTAAATTTAATTCATTTATATATTTTCTTAATAACCAAATATTGTAAAAATTCACATTTTTGTTTAATTGACTTTTGAGTATTTTATTTACATCCATGAGTTTATGTATTAAATAATATGTTATTATAACATAGTATAACAATTGATAGCATAGAATATTTAATGAATGCAAACTCCAAACACTAAAGTAAATTATTTGTGGCAAACCAATTATGATAAAATATTTTATATTATTTATCATATAAAGACCATAAGATATACAAACAATAATTGCTCCTGATGAAACACATAATTTGGTTAAAATAAACAATTTATTATAAGTTAAACATATATTGTGAATTAATTGCTTATCTTTAATACCAATACTTTTGGGTGAAATAAAACCCGAAATCATTTGAAATACTCTCAAATCCGTTGGTTTTATACCATTTCTATAGTTATAGTAATGAATGGCTTGCGATGCCATTAAGAAGAAACCCAACATGGTCAGAATTATGTTTGCAGTATAACCGGTTCCAAGAAAATAATCAACATTACCTAGGCACATATGTATTATATCAGAAACTATAATGTTTTTATATGTTAAAATTATTGAAGTCAAAAATTTTATAATTATTAATAAATTAATAATAAATATCACTAAAGGATTGTAAATGAAATGCCGTTTAGTAATAGTGTATTGAGTGTTAAATAGGGATAAACCAATTCGGTAGAGATGACTGTCCGCATCTTTTACCCGCAATTCCCGTCTTATGGGTTGTGACAAATCAAACATTTTAATTGTATTTATATACACTGTATAAATTCTAATTCAACAGTTAACTTAACATATTAATTAAAATTAAATTTAGATAGTATTACTCACAGGTATTTAGAACTTGACTATATGTCAAATGAATAACATATAATATTTATGTTATTGCAATAATATTATTATGTGTAATAATTTGATAATTAAATATTCTAATAATAATCGCAAAAACAAGTAAATTGTTTTGTATTGAATAGCTTATTATTTATTGATATTGTATTTTGCATATAATAACATTAATATTATTGGCAATGAACCATTTAATTCTGTTGGTAAATTATTTATTAAGTTTCGTTTTTTATTACTTGTTTTATTATGTTTGACACATTATTTATAGAACTTGTATAGTTTTTTTTTAAGGTTAGTCTTAATTCATATTTTTTATATTTATTAAAATTTAAAATTTAAAAAAGTGTTTTGCTACATTAATTTTAAATATTGAGCATACATGATGGTAAAATACTTGATGGTCAGTTTTCGGTGTTATTTTTCAAATTTAGGTTAATTTAGTTTTTATACAAAATTTCAAACACTTTATCACAATAACAAACTACACTAAAACAAAATATTGAATCTTTATAAATTGTACTTGGGTGTATTCCAAAAAATCTATAATGTGCTTAATGAAACAATAAACATTGAGGTATATATTATTTAAATTACAATTAACGACATGTATATCAATCATAACGGCAACACAACATACAAGTGCTACGTTGAATTAGCCACTGGTGCAGCCTTTATGAATGTACGCTCCACTGTAGGGGCCCCAGGTTTTCATATGGATCGGGCGCTGCAAGTGTTGGGTGCGAAACGGATGACTGATTTTAAAGTTCACGTTTGAATAGCTGTAGGGGTGACCACTCGGGCCGACCAAAGGGGTGGGAAAGTAAGAAACAATATGATTAAATACAGGCGTCGGATACGGGAGTTTATGTCACGTGATAATTGAGGCCACAAATGTATGATAGGTTTAGCAAAATGAACATGTGCAACGTTTATAGTAATGTTAAATAATAACGCTATTTTAAAAAATAACATAAAAATAGCAAATTGTCTTCAGATCCCATAACGAATAATTGATAACTGATATATTAATTACTAATTAACACTGTTAATTATAATTACAGTTTCTGAACTATTGTTGTTTATTCATATAATAAATGTTATTTCATAATATCTCTGCACTATTAATTTGAATGTCAATAGTAATAATAATTGAACATTTGTTATATTTTTGCTACATTTGTAAAATTAATTGAAATATTTTAAATAATAGAAATGTAACACTAAACAACACGTTTAAATAATTTAAACTTTTATTTTTAAAAAAAGTAATGCTTCTATTACAAATAAATAATAGCTTGTATTTTATTAAACAAAATAATAATAATAAATTATTAAGATTATTAAATTTACAATAAAATACAATAAAAACGATTATATTGGTAAAAGTAAACTAGATCATTCATTTTCTTTGCCAAATGGATAATCCGGGTGACTTTGAATGCCCTTGATGTCCATCACTTTGGGCAGCTGGGTAATATTATTAATCTGAGCCATATCCGCGTCATCTAGGGCAAGATCGAGCGACTTTAAATTTTCCAGCTGGTGATTTTTATCATGGGACCTAGGTATAACCACGGCACCACGTTGCATATTCCAGCGCAGGGTCACTTGTTGGACACTGTGTTTGTGTTTAGTGGCTATATCCTTAAGCACCTGGTTGTGTTCCAAGTCAGCTTTGCCCGATCGCAACGGGGCGTAACAGAATACGGTCATGTTGTTGGCCAGGCCGAATTGAAACAATTTTTCATTACGGTAAAATGGGTTGCACTCAATCTGTATAAATATCAAAATGACATTAATTAATAATTTAATAGATTTATAATGTTCAAATAATTATTAGGCTCTTTATCATTTAATAAAAACTTGTAAAAATAGCATTCTAAATGTACATGTGTCTTATTTGTTTTTGATTTAAAAATAAAATAAAATTACCATAAGTGATAGATGCATTAAAAATATAACTTTTTTGGGCTTATCTTTGTGTTTGTGATACATATTAATTTTGAATGTGTGTTAATTACCTCGAGTATAACCGGACGCACAAACGCTATGTCAAATATCTTACGGATTTGATGCTCGTTCACGTTTGACACACCGATGTGACCGATCAGACCCAACATAAACGCCGCCTCCAAACCCCTATAAGCCTCCAAATAACCACGGTCCTTATCCCAGTACATCGGGATAAAAGTGCCGTTATCGTATCTACGTATAAATAGTTAATTAATTATTTTAATTAATCATAATTATTTACTATACAAAAATTGTTAAAAAATAACATAATAATTAAAGTGATTGGTGATTTATCTAAGTGATAAGTGATGTCTTACCCCATAGAGAGTGATTGGCAACTATTATATTAATTACTAAAATAAACTGTTGATTATAATTACAGTTTCTAAACTAGAGCTATAAATAGCCTGTCAAACATCCTACACCACCACAACCTTTCCCACAAACACTTTCACCTACAACTAGCCTAGCATAAACTACAGGTATAATATTTGCATGTCTACATGAGCATCAGTCCCACATAGTACTACTACTAATAAACATACTTGGGCATAAGTCCGCTATTGGGCAAAAACGATGTGGGGTAATGCAACAGGCCAGCATCTAGAAACTCTAAGCCTAGATCACGCAGGTCCTTTTTGATGTTGGTAATCACGTCCTCTCTCTGGTGGAAAGTATTCCACACTTTGCTGATGACAAACAGGTCCTTTCTGATCACCTTTTTGGCCTGGATCTGTTGCCTGATGGCCAGCCCCAGGGCCATTTTGTTGTCGTATATGCTGGCCGTGTCGAACACGCGGTAGCCGTTGTCTATGGCCGACACGAACGAGTTGAATGCGCGCATTTCTGTGCCCCAGCCGTACGTTCCCATTCCGATGGCCGGTATTATTCGCCCGCATGGGAACTGGTGTGTTGGCAATGGCGCTAGATAGTAATTATTATTTTAATATGTGTTAATTAATTAATTTTTAAATGTAATATGTGTGTATGTAAACTATGCTATTGTATCATGTTTAGTTTATATGTTAATAGTTAAATTCATGTATGTTATATACAGTAGTTTAAAATGTTAATCTGTATTAATTAGTTGTAAGCATAAAGTAAATAATGATAATCATGTAAGTAATAGTTATCTCATTTATAAATTAGCATTACTTTTAATTATTTATTATAATAATTTTAAAATAACATACTTGTTTCTTGCTGTTCACAATTGACTAGATTCAATGTGACCAGGCACAGTATTATTGGCAACATTTTTTAGGTTTTGTCAAAATGTCGGTAAAAATTTTATACAAATATGTCGGCCGTAGTATTTTATTAGGAAAGGCAGTATTTGTAAAACTAGTCAATTGTCAATATGGTTTAGTAAGTAATTAAAATTATCCATGTTTGATGTCATTCATTATTTAATTTCTTTAAGTTTTTCTCTCCATATGCTTACTATATAACAATAATTAACGTTACATTTATTTAGTTTATAAATTCAAAATTTGTTATTAATAATTAGAAAGTTTAATGTGAACTAAACTAGTTTAAATATATGAATATTTGTTAACATGAATGCTTAGAAAACAAATACCCGAAAGTTTATCGTGTTAATTACAATGATATAAAATAGATTGATAAAAGCTCAATAATACAATTTAGTTAATGCAGTACTCTTTGCACTTGGTCCATTATAATCAATAAAAATAGGTAATAAGTAGATATATACAGTAATAATACGTTTTCTATTTATTTGATATTAAATTCCGTAACATTTATTTTTAAAATACATTTAATTTACAGCGTTGAAATAATATAGAATACTGTACCTGTAGTTTCAATTGTGTAGGGCATTAAAACTTATATTTAGATATATATGGAATTAAATATTGTTAAATATGATTATGGCAGAGTTATGTATTTTACCGCAAAAATACTCAAGTGTTTTTGAAAAAACAATAGATTACCAGCATGAATCTAACAAAGATTATAAAGAGCATATAATTAGATTAACAGGTACATTTAATCAGCCGCTAATGTCATATAACTTTTGTGTGCACTTAAGTAGTTTGCTTTTTACATTAAAATTATATCTATATAAAGCTGTGACAACAATTAAAGTAAGTTAAAGTTATATTTGCTAATACAGTTATACTGTAGATTATTAAAACAACCATGTATATTAGCGCCCAAACAGCCTTACTTGGGCTGATTTGTGTCTGCATTGCTGGTGCCGTCAGGTATGAGCCAAACTGGAAATCAATAGACTCGCGACCACTGCCCGAGTGGTTCGACAACGACAAGGTTGGAATATTTCTACACTGGGGAGTGTTCTCGGTCATTTCATATAAAAATGCGTGGTTTTGGTATGTAACACCTTGCTATTTTATAAATAAAATTGTCTAACTTGTATAACTTTATAATAATATTATGCAGATTAATTAATTCGTGTTTTAAAATTTATAGTGATAATTTTATGTGCATGTTTAAATAATTAAACTAGGCATGACTGGAAAATCAGCAAGGACCCGCAAATGATTGCATTTATGAACAAAAACTATAGACCCGACTTCACGTACGCCGATTTTGCCCATAAATTTACTGCTGAATTTTATGAGCCTGATCGTTGGGCAGAAATATTCAAGTTAGTTTTTTTTTGTAGTGTATTAGAATGTTTATTATTGTTTATGCTATGTAAAAATAAAATGATAAAAATAATTTGTTTATAGAGCATCAGGGGCCAGATACGTTGTACTGACCAGTAAACATCACGAGGGTTTCACCTTGTGGCCATCAAAAGTATCCTGGAACTGGAACGCCATGGACGTCGGCCCAAACCGGGATCTAGTTGGTAAATAGTTTAATTTTTATTTTACAACTTATTGCTGTATTTTATTATTATTAGATAAATTTTTTTATTTGTTATACAAAATATTTAAAACTGTAAAAATTTAATAAAATTGTTCATGATATATTCATTTGGATGTAAATATATAAGGTTTGGAGTGACTTCTAGGTCCCAATTAGTTACATTTTAGATTACTTAATTAACCATTATTAAATTTTCTATTAATCACAGTTATTATATTTTATTTATTAAATAGGTGACCTAGCTAAAGCGGTTCGGAAGGCGGACTTACGGTTTGGTTTATATCACTCACTTTACGAGTGGTTTAACCCTTTGTATTTGGAGGACCAGGCTAACAAATGGACAACTAACCGGTTTGTTACGGTATGTGCAATATGTCCTAAACAATTTACTCTGTTATTAAAAACATAATGAATAACGTGGTTAAAAATGTAGCAAAAAGTTCGCCCTGGGTTAGAAGAGATTGTGAACGCATATAAGCCGGACGTGATTTGGTCGGACGGGGATTGGGAAGCACCGGACACCTACTGGAATAGCACAGACTTTCTCGCCTGGCTTTACAACGACAGTCCCGTTAAGGACACTGTTGTGACCAATGATCGATGGGGTATATAATGTTATAAACATCCATACTATATTTTGTAATCTATGCATATCCAGAATATAAACTTTATACATGCTGTATATGCTAAATGTACTGTATATGCTAAATGTAGTGTCTAAATAATCAATATTGTACATTTAACATAATTAAAAATAATATTGCTGATTATTAACTTGATCCAGGTCAGGGTTTACAACAAAAGCATGGTGGTTACTACTCGGGTCCGGACCGTAATTTGCCAGATGTGTTGCAAAAGCATAAGTACGAGAACGCTATGACTCTCGATAAGAACGCCTGGACTTTCAGACGTGAAGTACAACTCAGCGACTTTATTACCCCTCACGACCTCATCGCTACACTCGTCCAGACTGTCAGGTATTTGTCTCAACCATTATTTAAATCATTAAATATAAAATTTATATTTAAAATTTAAAATAACATCTAAACTTATAAGAATAAATGATCTTTCTACATCCCGATTAATTTACTGCCGAACCGTATAATAAGTATAGATTTAAAATATTTAAAGATTCTAGTTTTTAACTTTTAATAAAATTAAATTATGTTACTCATAGATAATTATTATTAATATAAAATATTATATCGATTTTTAATCATATTTAATAAAAATTATTATAATAACTATGTGCTATATTAAAAGACAATAATTTAAGCAATTAGCAAAATAATATTTACAATTTGTTTGCATTGAAACTAAATCAAAATTAAATTATTATACGGTTTTGATAATTTTCCACAAGTAAAGTAATTAAATTAGTTAATCAAGGTCTAATATTTATTTTAGTAATAATTTACAGTTTACTCTACATTTTAAAACTAAATAAATAAAAATAGTATGCAAATAAATATTACAGAATATCGAAAAAATTATTACACAAACAATTAACGTTAGTTTTAAACAAAATAATTTTTACTGTGAAGTAAGTTACATTTACCTAATTTATGTAATTTATTAATTTAACCTAGTTGCAACGGAAACATTCTGGTAAACGTGGGTCCGACACATGACGGCCGCATTGCACCCATATTTGAACAGAGACTCCGGGAGATGGGCTCATGGCTTGGCGTGAATGGGGAGGCCATATATGGCTCAAAACCCTGGACCCATCAAAACGATACAATTACTCCACATATATGGTAATAAATATAGCAACATATTTAATAAACATGTTGCTATTAATTTGCATATTTAAAAGTTTAATCTCATAGAAATCATAGTATAATTTGTTGTGTTATTTGAAGTAAAATATTTAAATTAGATTTCTCCCATGATAGGTTTACTAAAAATGGCAAATCAGACAAAACAGTGTACGCCTCGGTGTTGGACTGGCCGGAGAGCACCGGACACGTAGTGTTGGGCGCCGTTAAGTATAGCACTGTATCGTCGGTACAACTGCTGGGCCTTAAAGACCCGGCGCTTAAGTTTACTGAGGGTAAGGACGGCGCCACTAATGTCCAGTTCCCGCCCGGTGTTAGTCCTGAGAGTGCCATACGTTTTGCATATGTATTGAAAATTGTATTGAAATAACAAACAACTTGTGTTAAAACTTGCATTTGTTATGTTAAGAAAAATATTTTATTGATTTATACAGAGTTAATCTTTAAAGTTTTATCATGAGCAATAATAAGGCCCGTTTTAATATTTTATTATTCAATATTTGTAATTACTTGATTTGTTTGTTCAAATAAAATGCTTGTTTTACACTAAAATTTAATATTTATTAAACGATTATTTATTATTCAAATCTATTAAATTTTGATAATTTAATTAAAACGCAAAATAATAATACAAAATAATTTTTTGAATAGTTGAGATAATTTTATGTCTGTTCGGTTTAATGTGTCTATTAATTAAACAAAGATTCTATATAAATGAATCGAGGTGCTTACTTTGCCCAGAATATAGTATACAATATAAATACTGTATAATAAATAATAAATTAATTATTATATTGCAGTTTGTTTATGTAATATTATTTAACTTGAGCGCCATGGATATCGGCCCAAACTACTATCAATTTGGTAAATGATATACTTTTGATTTGTTACATTTTCAATTTATTGCTATAATGTTTTCAAACTGCAATTAATTTAAATGATCATAAATAATACATCTATAAATAACGTTTTATACATAATTTTCTATGCACTATGTTGTTCATACTTTTATGTAATTTATATTTAGTTTTTCTTAACTAAATTGTATTTGAATTACCGTTGTATTAAACATATCTTCTAGGTGATCGAACTAAATCAAACTTGAAGTTCATATTGCTCATTGTACAAATGATCTAATATCAATTTAAATAATTAAAAATAAAAATTATATTTAAAATTTAAAATATTATCTATACTTACAATAATGAATGATCTTTCTTTACATCCCAATTAATTTACTATCAAACCGTATAAATAGTATATATTTATAAGGTTTAAAGATTCCAGTTTTTAATTTTAAATAAATGTTTAATAAAAAATAGTTTAAATATAACCAGTTTAATTTAATTAAATAACAAAATTAATACAAGAGACTCTCTACGAGAGAGAGAGAGAGAGAGAGAGAGAGAGCCTGATCATTGGACAGAAATATGCAAGTTTGTTTGTTGCCTATAATTAGAATTTTACTATTTTTATGCCATGTAATAATAAAATATTAACATAATCGTTTATAGGGCATCGGGGGCTAGGTACGTTGCACTGACCAGTAAACATCACGAGGGTTTCACCTTGTGGCAATCAAAAGTATCATGAAACTGGAGTGCCATGGTCGTAGGCCCCAACCGGGATCTAGTTGGTAGATAGTTTAATTTTTAGTTAGCAACTATTTTGCAGTATTTTATTATTATTAAAAACAATACTTATTTATGATTTAAAAATTTAAAACTGTAACAATTTCATTAAATAATTCGTGATCAATCTATTTGAATGTAATTATATGAGTTTTGGCGGAAATTTCTCGAACCCATAATTACATTTTATATTATTTAATTTACCATTATAAAATTTTAGATATACCCCAGTAATATAGCTAAAGCGGTAGTAATGGCCGATTTACAATTTGATTTTTAGGACTATCTCTATTATTTAAACTACATAATGTACATTTATTTTATAAATAAAAAAATATTTGATTGACAAATAAAAATTCCTTTTGTTATTATGTAAAGTTTATAACTACATTAATATTATATTATTTTAAAGCATAAACTAAACGCCATCAATAAACTAATTTAAATATTATATTAAAACGTGTATTGGTATTTTAAGAAAATTTGTTCAAATATAAACAAATTAATTTTTAAAATATTTTCTTATAATAATAAACAAACCCATATAAATATTATAGTATTTATTATTTTTAATAATTTGTTTTACAATAAAATTGAATACTGATGAAACAATTACGTAGTGTTCAAATCTCTATAGTTATATTAATTAAAAATAAAAATAATATTGCAAACTTATTTTCTAAAAAGTCGAAATATTTATTCGCCCGTTATGTTTAGTTTAACTGATATTTAGACACCCAATTAATATAAATATTAGCCCCTTACCTTGGCGGCCAAAATATAAAAATCAATATTTAAATTGGATAATAAATAACAAACTAATTATTGTATTACAGTTTGTTGTATATTATATAATAATAATGTCGGTTCAAATCGAGTTTTAGTTGGTAAATATTAAAATGTTTACAGCTTGTTGCTAAATGTTTTGTATTTTTATAAAACAATTTTCATTTGTAATCAACATATTTAAAACTGTAACAAATGAACGAAATTACATATGATATAACAATATGCATGTAATTATATACGTTTTGGGCACGTTTTTTATTTACGTTTTGGATCGCAATGCTTAGCCACATAATTACATTTTATAATAGTCAATTTACTTTAATTAAATTTTTAATTACCCATGGTAATTTATTTGTTTGGGTGACTTAGCTAAATGTGCTGATGGCAGATTTACGATTCGGTTTATATAACTATTGCTATTTATGTAATTTAATATAAATATTGGTTTCTAAACGTGATCCCCAAAATATATAAATCATTATTAAAATTGGATAATAAATAATAAACTTATTTTTATATTATAGTTTGTTGTATATGTAAACAGATTTAATTTTAATGTTTTTTATTATCAGGAATGAAACCCGTTTAAATATTTTATTATTTAATATTTGTAATTACTATTACATTGTGTGTGTTTAAATAAAATGTCTGTTTTACAATAAAATTTGATAATAATTAAACGATTATTAAATGTTTAAATCTATTAAATTTTGATTATTTAAAAAGTACAATAATAATATTAAATTATTTTTTGAAAGTTGAAATAATTTTAAGTCTTTTATGTTTAGTTTGATAATTAATTAGACAAAAATTTAATATACATCTTCTGAATCTTAGGCCAGAATATAAAATATAATATAGAAATTGTACAATAAATAATAAACTAATTATTATTTTGCAGTTTGTTTTTATAATATTATTTAACTGGAACGCCATTGATGTCAGCCCAAACCAAGATCAAGTTGGTAAGAACTATGACTAGCGTTGCCAGATATACAGGAATGACCTGTATTATACAGGAATTAAGGAATATTGCAGAGTACAGGAAGGTGTCATTCCTGTACATTGAAAAATACAAGAATAAATATTTTAGTAATAAACTATAAAAGTATTAAAATATTCAGATTAGTTAATAATATTAGTCCTGTACACCCATTGTTCATTTGAACTAATGCTAGAAATCAAATGAATTTAAATTTAACTAACTCAATTATAAAATCATTGTAATACTTTCACAAAAATATAATTCTTTGAAAATTGCATAAATTTGAGGTTTTAATTGAGAAACAATGAAATACAGGAAAATACAGGAATTTTTGGTAAAATGTGTACAATTATACAGGATATTCAAAATATTTTCTGGTAACGCTAACTATGACCGTTATTATAACTTATTAAAAATAGACAGAGAAGTGGTCTAATAATTGTTTGCTTTCACCAAATCGTGAACCCGAGGCCAGTGTCCGGCCGTAAACACGAGTCCGATCTCACGTAACAAATGATTGATACCAAACACCGACTCCGGCGTCGACTCCACCGACTCTTTGACATACAGTTCCTGCGGTCGACCGCTTAGAACGACGTCTCGTAAACGGGAATCCGTTTTGACATAAACGACGAGCGCGTCGGCGGGCAAACGATCGATGGCCTCCATTAACAGTATGGGAGACAACGCAGTGTTGGCCAAACACTCCGCCGCAGAGAAACCAGTGTTAGCGCCGCCGCCGGTGTTGGCCATCGGGAGAGTGGGTTCAGTGGTGAAAAGCCAACGCTGGCTGGGCTTAGTGCGAGTGCGTTCGGGCACCACCTTGGTAAATTGGTCCACTAGCGCTTGGCCCATATCGGGTGCAAACGCATTGCCCGCGTGCATATAGTCATGTTTTGGCCCGACGTCCACCACTTTGTTGTCCGGCAACACATCGCGCAGTTGACGAACGGCCGCTTCCGTACCGCACGCTATCACAAAGGTGTCCGCGAAGTGTGTGGACACACATATGTCCGGCCTATTCGCGCAATGGCTGCGAATCTCGGGCCACGCGTTCGTCGCCCGTAATGACCACAACGGGTGCGGACCCGCCGGCGGCCGAAACGCGCGACAAATGGCCAGACACTGGCGCCGATCGCACAGACCGTCCATATATAGACACATGAGTTCGCCCAGCGATGCGCCTAAATAGCCGTCGGCAGTGATGCCCACGGCTTTCAATGTGTCGACAAACGCCATGTGATGTACAATCGTTGCGATTAACACGCGATGAACGTATGGCTTACTAAACGCTGTCATCCAATCCGTTGTGTCAGTCAAACACTCGATGGCGTCAACGCCCAGAGGGGACAAGAGTTGGGCCGACACTTCCACCGATGCCTTAAATGCCGGGATTGTCATCAACGCCGGCACTGAACGCGCAATTCCTGGACGTATAGCTTAAATGTAAAATTATATATTCAATACTTAATTATTATTATTATACATGTATAAATAACACTAAAATACTAAACCGTGTTTTACCGGAAAACATGAACCAAATGCTGGGTTTGTTTTGTGCCGATTGTCTCGCAATGTGTCTCGAGATCTGTTGAAATCGGTTGCCGTCTGTAGTCCTCGTGAATACAGCGAATCCGCGCCACAAGTCGTCGTCAGTCACTCTATTCGAGCCATTCGTACGACTCTTCCCTTCGAAGGCATTGTCCAGAAGTGTCCTCAACTGGTCGTCGGCTTTCCGGTCGCCGCCGAACCCGAAGTCCAATATATTTTGGACAATACGTTGCGAACGACCGGAGACTACAACCAGTCGTGACTGTTGTTGCAGTTGTCGTCCGCTTTGGGCACCGCTTTCCTGTGCCTCAGGTTCTGGGCTTTCGTACAAATCTAATAATATTTGCGTAATTCGTATTTAATATAATTTTATTTAAAATCTGTGATAATTTTAAAAATATGAATATAAGTTAAGAGACACATATTTTATAAATAAGAAGTTGTATTAAATGTGCTAGAATGCTACCTCAGGTTATTATATTGTTTATTACATAATTACATAATATTCATTATATTATAAGGTTTTTGTGTACGGGCAACAATTATTTAAATAAATAATGAATAGTTAACAATAATAATCAAGGTATCAATAATTAGATACTAAGTTTATATAAAAATATTAATTTTTGAAATTAAAATCATTCAATACAAAATTAAATAAAATTATAATAGTAATTTACTTTCGTGAAAAATCTAATTTACTAAAATGGGGAAAAGCAAAAAACATAAAATAGAAATCTCACCAGTGTCAATTATTGCCGCGTATGAAACATCACTTAACATTTTGTCCATCGGTTCCGTATAATCAATGTTAACGCTATTGTGTTGTGAGTTGTGATCCATATATTGGTCGCCAATTCCCTCATTAGATGTGTTAAGAAATGTTTGCTTTGAAGACATTATTACTTAAATCACTAAAAATATTCCTATAAAATTCAATATGTTAAAAAAATAATTATGAATCAACACTAACTAATATTGTATTATAATCAATATTAATTGTACCACGTGATCAAATTCTATAAAGTGGGTGGGTAAATAAAGTCTATAGTTTTTAGAATTATTTAAAATATACGACCGAAAGAATTACTTGAATTAAATTTTTAAAAACTTTAAGTAAATAAGACTAAATAAGAACTATAAAACACTTTATACTCTATAAAGTGATCATCATCATTCACTTACAGGTATATAAGTACATAAAATTGCGGTACAAAATTAATAACAAACAATTTTGTTTTAAAAATGCTAATTCACTGATCATTATTTTACGTAAGTTTACATTTTAAAGTATGGGAACATTATTGCAAACAATATTAATCTAATATAATCACCAATCAATAAATATACATTTTATTTTATTTCAATTTGAGATAACCAATTATTTCAACATAGCATTAACATTGTATAATATTCATTAATAATTAAAACATTGTATTTTAAAATTAATGCAAATTTTAAAATAAAGAATTATGCACAACTTTCTACGATATTTAATTTATTAATTTGGGCAAAAAAAACTCGGTAGGTCTTCCACTCCAATAATAAAGCATAATCTAAATGTATATATTAAATTTTAAAAAATTCATATTTAATTTACAGTTTTAATTATTTAACAAAATAAATTTATATCTATTATCATTTCTTAAATGAAAATAGATATAAATAATTTCAAATTCACTAAAATACATAATATGCTAGATTAAATGAAATTTTATTCATAATATAATAAATATTATTTAAATATAATTGTAATTTAATTCATTCATAGTGATTAATGTGTATAGATTTATATTAACTAATACTATGATAGATTATTACAGTTTAAATAACAATAAAGTGAAACATGCAATTCAAATGGCAATGGTATAACAAACAATTTGATCATTATTAATGAATGCTTTAATACTAATTTGTAACTAAATTTAAAAATAATAAGCTATTCCAAATTAAATAAAACAAAAACTGTAAATTTACTTATTAATGATTATAATAATCAACAAATAATTTGTTATATAAATTTAATTAGAAATCTGTTTTATCTCATTAATTTGTTTATTAATCTTTATTTTTAATGTTTTATTTTGGATCTATAACAATTCAGTTAAAATTGGAATTAAATATTTAATTAACAATAAACTTAACAAGGATTGCAAAGCAACTAGACAAATTAATCTCAATTTAATAAATAAAACTTTTTCAAAATTTTCAATGTAATCGTTATAATTGTATTTATTATAATCTTGAGAATTTTAAAATGTTGTAAAACCCAATAAATAAATAGGATCTTTTATAATTTCTACATTGAAAAAACATTATTTCATTTAAAATAACATTACCCATGTTATGTCTATGTACTTTTGTTTTTATATATAAAAATTACTACATCAGTTATGTTAATAATGACCAGGTAAATTTTTGTTGGCAAACTTCAGACGTAGTTATACTCAATTGTGTTATATCATTTATTTATTTATTAATTGTAAGATGTTAGTATCTTTGTTAGTAACAACTTGACTATTTCTAACCAATTAAAAAGTTGAAATTATATTTCACTTTTATAGGATTTAACTTTCTTAAGACAATGCATGTAATGTAATGAGAATATTATATAACAATACATTAATAATAGTCATAAACAATGAATTATAATGACCAGGCGAAATTTTATTTTGAGTAATAGTATATAAATTAGTAATTAACAAACGATTATTACTTAAATCCGGAGTTTTATGTTTAGATTGTTTTATAATTTATATAACAAATAATAAAATGTTAACACTATTTGTCACAGTATTTAATGTAGAATACCTTTGGTATATGGTTGGGGCTATTTTGGTCGGAGTGATCACGTATAATTATTTGTAAGTATATTGTACTATATAATTATATGTTTAATTTGATAAATTATTTTAGAATTTATTTCCGTTATACTATATCTATCTTTTAATATATCATAATACAATATGTTGTAACACAGCAATTAAATTAAATAGATTATTGTACTTGGTTTAAATTGTACCTTTAGTATTAATGTTACGCACCTGAAGCTTACAGTATATACATATTTACCATGCCTTATAATACTTTTAGACCTAGTAAGGGTAAAATTTACACTTAGTGTAAATTTCAATGGAAAAAATGACTGGTTATAATGCATTTTTTTTATTGCTACCCATACTAGATTTAGACATTTTAAATAACTGACCATGTTTAATTATAGTAAATGGAAGCGTACATTTCAGTACTGGTCAGATCGCAATATCCGGGGCCCAAAACCTGTGCCATATTTTGGCAACAATTTAAGCACTTTCCTAAAGACAAGACACGGCGTCGATATGGATATGCATAAGACTTACGGCCGAATCGTTGGGTAAATAATACAAAAAATTACTAAAATTATTATAAATATTATCTATAAATTACAAAAACATACAAATGCCTAACCCTTATATTATAGGGCGTATGATCGCGACAAACCGGTGCTATCGGTGACCGACCCGGCGCTCATCAAACAGATCGTGATGAAAGACAATTACACATTTCACGCCAACCCTGGTGAGAAAATCGACGGCATCGGCAATATTAACCTTAAAGCGCGGGCCGACAACTGGAAACGGATACGAGTGCTGACGAGTGGCCAATTCAGCGCCGGCGCGATGAGACACACGTACCCACTCATCGACGAGTGTTGCCGCGACTTTATGGCCGCACTCGCCGGCCGCGTGTCCGCCGCCACCGGCGGCACAGAAGTGGAGTTAAAACATGTGATGGACGCGTACACTATGGACGCGATCGCCACCACAGGGTTTGCCATTAAAATCGACGCCTATTCCCACCCAAACCACAACAACCCGTTCACAACGAAAGCGAGACTGTATTTCCAAAATCAATTCGCAACCGATCGGTGGCACGACTTTGTGGCCATGATTTTGCCGACAGGCGTGACCAGCACTCGGGCGTGGAAATGGTTGGCCACTGGCGGCGGCCGCGAACCGGAGATCAAATTTTTTGTCGACTTCGCGCGGCGTTTGATAGCTGAGCGCCGGACGTCCGGCGTTAGACACAACGACGTCCTCCAGGTGTTGATGGACGCGGAGAGAGTACAGGTGTTGGGCGACAATAACGCGGGCACTACCGGTGCGGCGGCTGTGGCGGCGCCGGTGGTCGAGAAGTTAACCGACGCCGAGATTGCCGACAAATGCGCCATAATTTTCATCGCCGCCTTCCACACGACGGCCGCGACGCTGGCCTTCTGTGCCCACGAGCTGGCAGTCAATCCCGGCATTCAGGACCTGTTGGTGGCGGAGGCGAACGGCGCCTGCGATGGGAACACCGGCCACATTGACTACGAAACGCTGTGTCGACTGCCATTCCTGGACGCCGTGCTGTCGGAAACGCTGCGCAAATATCCGCCGGGCATTAGACTGAGCCGCGAGGCCGCGAAGGACGTGATGCTGAGCGTTAGTAATGGCGACAGTCGTGGCCCACATTTAATGGTCGAAAAGGGTGTGGAAATAGCAGTCCCGGTGTACGCCATACATCACGACCCCGACTACTATTCCGACCCCAATGCCTTCAAACCCGACCGATTTATGGCCAACAATCGGCACAACATTAAGCCCTATACGTACCTACCATTCGGGGCCGGACCGCATCTGTGCCTGGGCATGGCCTACGCCCTGGTCGAGGCCAAACTGGCCCTGGTCAACATTGTACGCCAGTTTCGTTTGTATCGCGTGCCCGACACCGATGTGCCCGTTGTGTTCACTCCCGGCCGTCGTTTACTAACTTCCACTCGGCTTCGAGTGGGAGTCGCGAAGCGTTAACAACAATACAGTATAACATTTAAAGTACCGGTTATTTTGCTAACTTGTGGTGTTCTTTTTTATTTTGAGATGTTGCATTATTATTTTATTCAATATTTTGTTAGATATACTATATTAATGTAAACAATATTAAAAGTCTTTGCCTTTTGAATTATGCCCACTCTTGTCGATTAATTTTGATTAAAAATATTTTTAACCACAATTCTAATATGAATAATGTGTTTTATAGTATCGTTCTGCCCTCCTTCCCGCTCCAAGCAAGCTTAATTTTACATAAAAGTCAGTATTAACTCATTTAAATTAAATACTATTCAAACTGTAAAAATTTAATTTAGATTCAATCTGTATAATTTGGAATTTATTTTATAAAATAAATTTTGGGTAAACCTGTCAAACATCAATTATTTTATTATATTTATTTTTATATTAATATAAACACTTTATTTATTTATTTTTATAAATTTTGTAATAATAATCAATTTTGGTCAATGATTTATTTAAAATTATTTTTTACTATGAATATGATAGAAATATTAAAAATAATAATTTAAGTGCATCAGTTAATCCGATAATATAGCATAATCTATATTCGTATATTATATAAATATTTTATTAAATTTAATTTACAGTTTTAGTTATTTAACAAAATTAATTAATAATTATTATCATTTATTGAATGAAAATCAATATAAATAATTTTAAATACTCACCAAAATCCATAATATGCTAAATTAAAATAAATTAGGTTTTATTTCCAATATAATAATTATTATTCATATATAGTTGTAATGAAATTCATTCCAAATTCATAATGATTAAATATTTTAATTATTGGCATAACTGATATATCTTAGTCTTTCGATATTTCTAATGTAGGTAGAAATGTGAAATTAATTTTGTAATTTAGGTTAACATTCCTAGGCACCAGAAACCAAGTTTCATAAAGATTGGATGATTGGTCGTTATACTGAAAATTTTAAAACAAAGTCAGGCAGAATAATGTATTCCTATGGGAAGGGGTCTGTTTTTGTGATTACCGACGGTTGAAATCGTGAATTAATTGATCATGCTCAAACAATAATAAAGATATCAGAAATCCCTTACTCTTCCAATATGGTCAATATCTAATGTATACATCCATATCATATTCAATGATCAACTCTGACCGGTGCCTGAACTGTGGCCACTTAATTATCGGTAGTCGACCCGATTGGCGGCCTGTGTTCGGTCGGTTCGCATTTGATTCCCGTTATAAATAATGTTGTGATAACTGCTCTAAACTGTTGTCGGATAACCAATAGTGAATCCCAATAACTAAATAATAACTCCAAACATATCTATAGTAAAAATATTTTCACTTTAAAAATGAGATTATTTTTAGTCAAATATTTTGTTGTAAATTTATCAAAATAATTCCGACCGACAAACTTTAAAAAATTCCTATTCTTAAACTATTCATCCGATCTTGATGAAACTTGGATTCTGGTGCCTAGAGATGTCAACTTAAATTATAAAATTAATTTCACATTTCTACCTACTTTAGAAATATCGAAAGACTAAGATATATCGATTGACCCAATAATTAATATGGCAATAAACAAAAAGTTAGTAGTATCATGGTAATAAATAAGAAATTTATATATTTCACCTAACGGGGTTCAATTTTTATTAATCATTTTATTTTGATACAGTGTGTTGTGCCTATACGATATACTATTTATAGTGAAATAGATATCAATTAATTACACAATTAAAATACATATATAAAATTTAGTAACTAATTAAACAATTATAATTAAAGTACAATATTAATTTAAGGCCAGACTCTGCGTCACATTTTCTTTTTCTTTATATAATGAAATAACTAATTGCTGTACCAAGTTCATTAGTAAAACAATTAATAAAATATAGAATTTCAACAATAACTTAGAAAACATATTAAAATATGTCATTATTAATATTATTAATTTGATAAATATTACAAAAATTTAAAAAAAGTATCAATATCTATTACTAATAATATCATTATGGTCGATCAATACCATAATGATATCTATGTGGTAAAAGAAATTAAAATTATTTGCACTTTCTATTAAACACTATAATAAACATAGTCCGTAGTAGTAATAGTATCTAACGTAGTGTAAGTATGTACAGGGTGCGTCAAACATAACGCACCACTTTGTTGTTTTCTCTCATAGACTTTACATTAGCACAAAATGTGGTAGTTAATTGTGCACCACCCTGTACATTATATTAAACCAGTATGTTAATCCAATCCAGGTGTTCAAACATTTGTGTACTAATTTATAGCTGTAGTGTCTGAATGTTGACAATGCTTTCCCCCTTTTTCTGATACCCCCTATTAATAGTTGTCGTAGCCTTTTGTGTACTTAATAGTTGTGTGCAAGTGTGCAGTGCTTTCCCCCATTACTTACGTTCCCCTTATTTATAGTTGTTGTAGCCTTTTGTGTACTTAATAGTTGTGTGCAAGTGTGCAGTGCTATCCCCCAT